TTTTGCAAGCAAAAGGAATTGAGAGCCCAAAACCGGAAGGAATCAACGAGCTGGCAAAGACTTTGGCAGAATCCATGCACCCCCAATGGACCAGCTGAATAACTTCAAGGAACAGATGACCAAAGTGACTCAATGTATCACCGCTCAGCAAAACCAGATAAATGAGACCCTGAAAATGATGAATCAAACAGCTGAGGAGGTGAAAGAAGTGGATGCCACTGCACAAAACGTGAAGAAGAAAGTGAAACAACTGGAAAAGAAGCAAGTCTCCACAGAAGATCAGCTGCTGCAATTACAAATGGAAAAGGCTAATATGATCCTTCGCTTCCAGGGCATGCCAGAGACTAAGGGTGAGCATCTAAAGGAAACAATGAGTGAAATACTAGCCACAGTGACAGATGACGGCGGAACAGCTGATAAGCGATATGGATGTGGCCTATAGGTCATATTCAGGATATATAAAGAAAAATAATCTGCCTGGGGAAATTGTCGTAAGATTCTCGAAGAGGCCTGTGAGGGATGAAATCCTGAAAGCAGTATCTGGAGTACCCCTGAAAGTGGGGGAAAATGTCAGAGTACTCAAAGACATTCCATTTGAAATAAGGCAAAGGAGAAAGAAATACAAAGATCTTATTCTCTTTCTTCAGAAAAATTCAATTGGATATAGATGGCTAACTCCAGAAGGCATCACCTTCAAAATCTAGGATAAAAAAGAAAAGATTGACTCTGTTCTGAAAGCTCGGGAATTTTTAAGAGTCCAGTTGGGAGGGCCAGAGGAGGAAGAAAAGAATGGGGGAAGTTGAAGCAAAACAAAACTTCCAAGAAAACCGTTAGTTACAGCTACAAATGGAAAAAGCCAACATGATTATCAGATTCCAGGGAGTTCCTGAATCGGCAAAAGAGGATCTGAGGAAGTTGCTCAGAGAGATCATTGCTCCAGCAATAGGCTCAACAGCGGATGAAGTAGTAAAAGAGATGGAGACTGCTAATAGGGCATACTCCAATTATATTTTAAAAAATAGCCTGCCTGGAGAAATTGTGGTCAGATTCTCAAGAAAACAGACCAGAGATGCTATTTTAAAAGCGACCTCAGCAACTCCAGAATTTTAAGAGACAATGATATATCTGACTCGGTTTGTAAAGGGATTAGTGGAATTAAGACTTGATGTTTGTGTAAACTGATTAGATCTCCTCTCTTGAGTTTTTAGGTATTATTGGGTATCTTTACTTTGTACCTAGATGTAGTCCCTTATCCTATTTCTGTTGTAGTTTGTAGTGTTTATAAAAATATAATAAAAAAATCCCCTTTGGGGGGCTCAAAAAAAAGAAAAGAAAGAAACTAAATCCAGTTAACTATGTTGTACAAAATCAAACCCATGGATGAACTGGATTTCATTTTCCCCATCTCCCCAAATTGGGTTTCCAACCCTGGATTAAACCCTTGTTTTTTTGGGGTGGAAAAAAACTAACTCAGGTTAATCTATGCACCTGAATCTGTATGTCAGAGGCAGCCACAATTAACTTCCAACCCGGGTCTCTGCATGAGAATGGGGAACAAGGCCTGCTCAGCAAAAGCACTCTCCAAGCTATCCGAAAACAGTTTTTCTCACTATAACATCTTCTTCAAAATATAAGCTTTCAAAGCAAGTAACAAAAGGATCCATTTTTATTTGCCTGATTATACCCTAATATCATAGAAAAGCAGGATGAACAGAGGATGAGGTCACGTGTTTGCTTCTGAAAATAGCCTTTCCTGTAAGGAAGCCAGTAGGGCTGCCAGGTCACCCGGCCATTGCTGGGGGATGGAGGGTTAGGGCTGTGAGATTCATGTTGAAGAACTCTTGGAGATTTGGGGATAAAGCCTGGGGAGGACAAGGATCTCACAGCAGGATAGAATGCCATAGAGTCTACCCTCCAAAGCATCCATTTTCTCCAGGGGAGCTGATCTCTGTATTCTGGAGATGAGCTGTAATTCTGGGGGATCCCCAGGTCCCAGGTGAAAGCTGGCATCCCTAAAGCCAAGGCAGAAAATGTCTGTGTGGAAACAGCCTGACTTGCACAGGAGTACAGTTGTGCTCTGTTAGCTACAAGTTTTCATCTTTGCAAGATCAAAGTTCAACTCTGGAGATGAGCAAATGCCTATTAGAAATGCCTATTAGAAATTCTCAGGCTAAAAGAACAAGGGAAAGGGTAGATTCATAACTACAATGTATACAATGTCTGTAATGGAGAACGATTTTAAAGTCATCATTCTATAGGCTCTTTAGATCTTACGGTAGTATGTTTTGCCAGCAATGGAATTATTTTTGGTTCCATTAGAGAGAATTCTGAAGAAAACAAAGAGGTTCAAAAATGAGAGGGGGGAAGAAGAATGGCAAAGAGATGCTAAGAATTCTGCACTGCTGTCTGAATCTAGTCAATTAAGTCTAAAGTCAAACTAACTTGACATTAATCCTGGACAGACTTTATTTCCCCCTCCCCAATTCTCCCCCCCCCAAAAAAAAGGCATAATGAGGTAGAGAATTAAAGGATTAATCCTTTATTATTGCTTTCATTTTACCTGCATCTCCTGCCAAGGTTGCTGCGCTTTTACTCCTGGCCAAGAAGGAATGTGTTGGCGTCAGAAGTCTGCTCACGATGCTGTTCTCCCAGGGACTGAGCTGCAGCCGTCGAGCTGAGTGGCACCACAGAAGCAGGAAGTTAGATCACAAGCCTTCCATAAAATATCAAGTTCCATAGGAAGCAATTACAACATGTTGGTCCCCTTTTCCCACAGAGGATTATAAATATTAGCAAACTACTTATTCCAGTTTCCTTTTACCATGTATTTCTATTTTGGATATATCAGCACACCTTTTCTGTTGACTGCTGATGCTACACATTAAAAAGTGTTTCAAAGGACTAAAATATTATTATTCCTAAACAGATTAAGTATACTGGGTTGATATACAATACAGACATCTTTGTTTACAACCACCAGAGTTTTACCACCAGAGTTTACCAGAGTTAGCCTTGCTGTTTGTCCCCCAAACCCCTCTGCGTGTCAGAAGAGTCTTGCAAACAAAATGCACCACAGCATATGGTGCTGCGGCAGTGAGAGATGACTGGACATAATGGCTTCCTTCTCCCTTTTCCACTTACAGGAGGACTCTCTTTAGTCTGCTTTCAGATGGGAATGTTATCACTTTTCATATAGAAAAAGAGCTCTCAGAATGAGGAATGCATACACAAAAGTGCTAACCACCATATCTGAAAATGCATGTGTGATGGACTGCACTTTTAAAAGATTAGAAGTGCTGTGTAAACAGATAAAGGACTGTGAAGGGTTAATTCTTCACAGAGCCAGAGAGCCTTGAGTGACAGGCTGTTCCAAGAGATCTGAATGGTTAGCATCAGCTGAGCAGAGAAAGACCTCTAAACTGGATGCTGAAGAGGAGAATTCAGTCTGAGTTCAGCCCTAGCTGAGAGCTGAGTACTGACAGTTTTGGAATTCAGCCCTGACTGAGAGCAGTTCAACAAGACAGGGGAACTGGGGGAAAGCTGGCAAATATGAGTGAGTAGTTAGACGGAGACACCCATGCAGGCCAAAGAAAGGGGATAGATCTAGTGAGAAGAAAATTTCCCTGCACAGTCAAACAGGGAGTTAGCTCCGAAGGGTGCAGGGATCTCTGGTCTGGTGTCATTAGAAATGGCCTTTAGAGACCTTAAGAGTCAGTTAAAAACTCAAGACGAGTACTGGTGTTTCAAGAGAAGTAGTACTGGAAAAAGTGTACCAGCCTTGGGGATGCTTTGAGCAAAAAGCAGGGGGGGCACCTGAACTCCAAGCAGCGAATTCGCCACTTGGAGTACAGGTTTGTGTGGGGGGTGCCAGTCCCCAACATGGTGATGTCACTTTTGTGTAACATCATCACGTTGGGGACGTCCCCTCCCCCTCCAGAAACACCTCCGAAGGTCCCCCACCTGGGACTAAGATGGATCTGGCAACCCTAACCAGCCTTCTGGAAACCAAAAGAGTCAGAGAATACTCAAAGAAAGTGTACTAGAGTGTTTGGGAAAGCACTGGAACAAAAGCCTCGTAACATAAAGATTTAAGTAACTGTGAATAGCTTAAGAAACTTAGCCTGAAACATAGGAACTAAAGTTTGTACATGTACTGATTTTACCTCAGAGTTATCTATATTGAGTTACCTCAGAAATTTTCAACCCCTGGTTTTACCTGACCATTCCCCTCTATGTTACATAAAATATTTTGTTATTTTTGAATTTCAAAACACCTTGAGTGCCATTTAAATTCTGTAAGTTAAAGGAGGCTCCTGATCCTTTCCTCATGTTTCCAGGCTGAGCTAACAGTCCAAATATCATACTGTGGTAAGGTGGGACAGCCAGAGTTCTTCAGCAAAGAAGAAAACATTACTAGGGTGGCTCAGTCAGTAAAAGGAAATAGAAATGGAGGGAAAATCTTGCCTCTGAGGGAGGGAAGTGGACCGGGGGTGGTGGTCATAGCATGCAGACACACACTTCATTTACCAGAACTACCAGATATAGTTGCCTCTCAATTTCCCATGAAAGTAATTTTGAAATGGTACAGCCTAATGCTGTAGTGGTCGTTACTTACATCTCAGTCATATCTGAAAAACATGCTTTTATGAGAAAGCAAACACATGTTGCTAAGCAGATCCCTAAACCCTAAACATTTTCAGAGTATAGCATGGGCAGAAGGAGAGAAGAAAATCCTCAGCAAAATAGAATTATCTTCTTCTATACAGTCTAGTCCCTGGGCATATTTTTTTCCACCACATATTTCTGAGCTTTAATTTTATGAGCAGAAAAGTAGATTTACAAAAGAAATCTTGGTCTTTCATCCACAGTAGGCTGCCTGCATAAATGCTGTTATGCAATGAACCACTTCAGTACAGATTTTCAAATAACAGAACCATTTTCCAACAGATTACATAACCACAAAACCCAGTATAGATGTTTAAAGCATATCAGTTGTGATTAAATTGGATGGGGGGCAAGGGAAGCACACAATTCTCTTGCTATTTTGTTTTGGCTATTATGGAAGTTGACAATATGATCTCCATTACTTCATCTGTGCCCATCCTGCTAGTGTTCTACAAGTTCAAAAGTGAAGAAATCACTGAGACCAAAGGAACTAAACACTGTTCCATATTGTTCTTCTGCCATTTATTGTTCCTGCTCCATTCTCATGCTAGCGCTTTGAAATTTAGAAACCACTCATTCAAAACTGCTAATATGGGAGTGTTCCAAAAGTATTATTAGCATAGTTACCAGGGGTCTTTTGGGGCCAGAGAAGCACTTCGGCGGGGGGAGGTCCGGAGAGCCCCGCCGTCAGGTCCCCCGGGCCCGCACAGAAGCATTGCGGCTTGGGGGGCGGCCATAGAGCCCCGCCGCCGGCTTCCCTGGCCCCCGCTGAAGCGGTAAGTAAGGGATCCGTGGGGGTGGGGGGCTTGATGGGTGGTGGTGGGAGAGCCTCCCTCCCTCCCTCCATCTCTTTGCCATCTTTCCCTCCTTTCATTTTCTTTCCCTCCTTTTCTTTCTCTCTTTTCCTTCTCTTCCTTCCTTCATCTCTTTTCCTCCTTTTCTTCTCTTTTTCTTTCATTCCCTACTTTCCTTCTCTCCTTTTCCTCTTTCCTTCCTTCTTCCCTTCTCTCTTTCTTTCCTACCTTATTCTCTTCTCTTTTTTCCTCCTTTCCCTCCTTCTTCCCTTCCCTCTCTTTTCCTCCTTCTTTTCTTCTCTTTCTTTCCCTCTTTCCTTCTTTCTTTTTATTCCCTCTTTCCTTCCTTCTTTCCTTCTCTTTCTTTCCCTCTTTCCTTCTTTCTACTATTTCTCTCTTTCCTTCCCTCTTTCCTCCTTCTGTGGCCCAACTCTAGTGAGAAGGGGTTTAAACTTCAAACCCCTTCTCTCTTCACTCCCTCCCCTCCGCAGGCCAGCTGGGGAAGGGAAGGGGAGGCTTTTGAAGATGCCTCCCCCCTTTTCCTTCCCCTTCTGACATTACTTCCGGTGATGTCAGGGGGCGTGGCATATGCTAATAGCCTAGTAACATATGGTATGCTAATGAGCTCCTGCAGCTCTTTTTCTACAAAAAGACCCCTGATAGTTACTGATCAGAACAATATAGACATATATTGAAAA